TCATCTATGTAAACAAGACTGTAGTTATAGAGTTGTAAGAAAGTGACCATATTAAACGGATTACCATATTACCCTCACGTACTATATTAAAAATTGGTGTAATAAAATTCACTTGCCATTTGTGCTACAAAAACAAGAGCGTTTACAGCAACGGCGCTTATTTGATTTGTTTGTAATCCTAAAAGGCGAATAATATGCCGCCATAGTGACATAGAGTTTGATGTTTGGTAAAGGTTAGTATTTGGTTGCTTTTGCTGGAATATATCCTCTTCACTGTCTTCTGTGTCATCTTTAATTGGTTGCTTTTGGTTTTTAAGCGGCGTTGTTGGATTGTTAACAGTGTTGAAAGCTCGAACCACAAAATCGGCTACTTTTAGAGCTACGGACTCCGAACCTACAACATGAGAAATATTTGTTATATTTAATACAGTTAAAAAAAGTATATTTTTTCCTGCAATTTTGTTACCTTTTATACAATTTTTTTATAGAATAAGGGTGACAAACGAGCACACATTCCGCATGATGTTAAGTGGAATCTGTGATATAGATCCTACATGTCCATAGACACCTACATTTATTCTAGATTAAGAATTAAAACTCACTTCCAGAAAATTAAGGCATTAAAAAGAGTGTGCTCCATCATATAATGATGACGATTAGGCATTTGAATTAATATTTTAATATAGGTTTTCTTATCAAATTTAAGTGACCAACGAACTTTCAGATTACCTGATGGTAAACGGCTACTGCAGCTCATGGCAACTCAACTTCAAATAAAGAAGAGATAAAATGTTTTTACACCGGAATACAGCAGCTCAAAGATGTTTTATAGGAAAACAATCTTGACAGCAGCCTGTACTGTTTAGTGGGGTTCAGGCTCAGAAGAGCTAGAACCCAGAGCCGTAAAGCCAGTTAATAAAAAAACTGTTTGGTGACAGAAATAGCTAAGAGGGTTTTAGGTACCTAGCCCACGGACTCCAAGGCAGAAAAGGAAAACTTCGAACTAGTGAGGTATGTATATTGTTAATCTGATCTGTGCAGTGAAATCGCAAAAAAATGTAATAAATTTTAAAAATTGGTTTTTTGATCGTTGAAAAAAATTGCTTTGAACTTTTGTTATTTTGTGCAAATCGAAGTAGTTTATAACAAAAAAAAATTGCTCTTACCTAGAAAGTCATGGGCAAATTTCATCCCACTGCTTAATCGGTCAAGAAAACCTTCCCGTCTATAACTTTCATTTGCAAATGATACTGGTAGTGTAACGAACAAGAGAAACAGAACATTCGACGCCATCTCGAGGCAAACGGTAAGAACACAATGACTTCGGTAACATGTAGAGACCACGCATCGTTTCTCAACATAATGGCTGCGCAAACGCAACTGTCGCACTAGAGCATAAAACTCATAGTTAATAACATTCTCCTTGTTGTAATACATGTTGTTTTATTTTACTACAATTTTTCCATATTTTGATTTCCTTACAAATGTTCCACATTACTAGAGTTTCGAGATATACGTATTTATCTCTACTTCGCTAGATGGCGTTAGTATTTAGTTATTCTTATAAATTTATGTGCTCTTTCAGTCCACAGAACACTATTACCACGGTAATATTATAGATAATATTACCGTGCTATTACTCCTAGCGGAGATACATTAGTTGAGAAGGTCTGGTTGCAAGGCTCAGTTAGTGTAATCATAATTAGAGAAACTTAACTTACGTAAGTATTATTTATTAATTAAAAAACAATTCATGAAAAACGCATTCAAGTTACTATTTCACTCCTACCAAAATGAGGATACAGAACAAGTAAAAATGATATTTAGCTAAGGATACCAAGATTGAACTATATATAGCCGGTAATATTATCTATATATTAGGCTATGAATTATTATGAACAATTTAATAATAATATTTTGAAACCTATAACAATATCTTTGTTATGTTCTATTCACAGAAATAGTAATAATATTACGATTTCTGTGGTTCCATTACATTGAAACACTCTGTACGCAAAATAGGCATTCAACAACCAGATCTCAGATACCTACCATTTACACTCCACCCGTATTGTTTGAAGACAGATGTGCACAAACCACAAAATAGAGTACACAACCACATACTTACAGTAACACGGAGATAATATCCGTACATAATAACGTAAAACGTAAAAAAGAAGAGTACTCAGATCACTCCGTAGAATATGAGCAAACCGAACCTAATTTCGAAGGTACCAGTGGAATTGTTTGATACAATATGTTGATTTAGCAAATATTAAGGGGTAAACGTGAGAAAAAATGTATTCCTAAGAAATATATTAACACTTTCCATGTCCGATTTTCAGTTCTGTAAGTACGTGTTAAAGCCACGCTGCAGCTATATTATGGTTGTAGCACGAATGGGTCGGCTCGACCGGGGAAGGACCACGCTCTCACAGAATACTAGCGTAAAACAGCAGCTTGATACTGCTGTGTTCAGTATGGTGAGTGTAGTGACCCGGAGACTCTCTTTTACTGGAAACGAGGCATTCCATCTTAGTCCTCAGGGGTGATAACGCATCTGCGTTTTGATTCTTAATCGAGGACAAATGTAGGTCTATGGGCCACAGCATCCACTTACCATCTGGTAGACTGTGTGCTCGTTTGTCACCCTTATTCTATAAAAGACACATTAGTAAGACAATATCAAAGAATTAGGTAGTTATATTATGTAGTAGGTATAATATATTAGCAGTTGCTACAATTCTAGTGTGAATTCACGTATTTTACAAATCACGTAGAATGGCTAAGCGGATGGGTCGTCTTTGTCCTATCTTCACAAATAAAACGGGTGGTCGAAATGTTTGAACAGCCGACGCGACGCTTACACTTTATTTTAACTCAGTAAAACAATGTTTGCGATACTGTGGTAGTCTTTGTCACGAGGAAGAGTTAAAACGAGGTCTGCAGAAGCTAAACGTGTCGTAATAAAAATATAATTTTGAAGAAAAGCTGGACTTAATTTATTATTTTGATGCCATAATATCGTTATTTTGTTCCGTATGTATGCGTAATAATGATAGCAAATGTGTACTAAAGTCAGTTGTTATGTCGCTTATAAATATATTTTAATCTAAATATAATTTAAAGTCTTTTGAAAGCTTGAATAAGCTTGAAAAAACTTTGGGTTACGTAATGAACGATGGTTAAAGCTCGCTGTAAATATAACAGAACACGAGTAACCCGGGTTCGATCTCTGCCGGCACCAATGAAATTGTTAATTACAATTTTAAGTTTTACCACCGATTTACCACCTGCTCGGCGGTGCAGGATAACGTCGTGAGGAAACCTGCATGTCTGAGGAATAAGAAAAAAAATATTTCGAAGATATGTTTATGAAGTTCGCCAACACGCATTAGGGCAGCGCGGCGGACACTTCCTTGCCCTTAAAACCCTCTCAGAAATGAGGGGAGGCCTAGCGGTGGGATGTATATAGGCTGTAACTTTATATTTTACTACGTAATGAACAAGAGTAAAGTTTAAAACCAAAACCTACTACGACAAAATTTACGGTTTAGTTTTTAAGCATGGTAGAGCCACGCGGTAGCTTTATTACGTTTGCAGCATGAATAGGTCGGTTCGACCAGGGAAATAACACACTCTCACAGAATAACAGCGTGAAATAGATGCGTGTGAGTGAAAAGTACCGAAGACGCTTTTTACCGGTATCGAGGCATTTTATCTTAAACTCGGGGGTGACAAAGACCAACGATTACGGCGGTCAGCAACTGCAAACCATGAAGGAAGAACTAGCTGCTGAACAACCGAGATTGGTCAATCGCTCTAGGCTACTGCTGCTTCACGACAACGCAAGACCACACACTGCACAACAAACAAGCACTAAGTTAAATGAGCCACAATTGGAATGTCTGTGACATCCACCGTACTGCCCGGACCTTGTTCCAACAGATTACCATTTTTCCGGAATTTGGACAACTTCTTAGAAGGAAAAACTTCAACTCCGATGCGGCGGTCCAAACCGCCTTCAAAGAGTTTATTGATTCTCGCCCCCATGGTTTTTTTTAGTAAAGGGATCAATGAATGACCTATGAGACGGCAAAAGTGCATAGATAGCAACGGTGCATACTTTGATTAATTAAATATATTTTACAAAAAAAAATTGACTTTATATTCCTCCCGTACAAAACGCCAATTTCATATGTAAGGAGTAAGGACCCATTATTTGGAATGTACTCATTAAAACCTACCGTTACATACCAAACATGATATTTTCATCATGCGATGATTTTGTGTGGTAGGTAGTTAAGTTGGATTTTACGGGAGATTATATGACTGCGAACACAGACCACACAGGCTAGGCTGGGTGGTCTGTGACTGCGAATGAGTATGACGCTTCTAACAAAATTAGATCTCATATGTTAAAATATACAGCGAAAGTTTAGATTTCAGAAGATCTAAAGAAATAGATATAACATATATATAGATTGTTTTTTATAGTATAAGGGTGACAAGCGAGCACACAGTCCACCTGATGATAAGTGGATGCTGTGGCCCATAGATATCTACATTTATCTTCGATTAAGAATCAAAACGTAGATGCGTTGTCACCCCTGAGGACTAAGAGTGAATGCCTCGTTTTCAGTAAAAAAGGGTCTCCGGATCTCTACACTCACCATACGAAACGCAGCAGAGTTAAGCTGCTAATTTACGCTGGTATTCTGTGAGATATTAGCTTACTTAAGTCATTACCCTCCTCCTGGCTGTGTTAAGTACTGCATTGTATCGTATATAGTACTTTTTACAATCCATATCTTTGCTTTGACCTGAATCTGTAACCGCTGCTCAACTATCGTGCTTCGTAGACCGCGATGATCTGTCTTCATCGTTAGGCACATCATTATTTCGCATCCAACAGTCTAACTGCGTGCACCATGGCTTACTTACTTCACATTACACTTTTAAACTGTATTTATACTTTGTTTTGTTTTGCAACTGCTGATATGACTACGGAAGAAATCCAATTACTTAATGAGTTGCCTTTAGAAAAACTTTTGAAGCTGAAGAATTCACTGCAAGATTTTGTTAGTACTGAATACAATAATGTTACGGTAACAGAGCCTACCTTTGAACATTTTGGCGCTCAAGCAATGGCTTTAAAGGCGCCACCAATCAAGAGGTTGGATTATGGAGGAGGACTTTATAAAAATGAAGGTAGCACCAAATTGAGTAATATTTTCTCCATGTCTGTAACGACACTGGCGTTTTTAGCTTTTGGCGGTTACTTACTTTGTCTTATTGTGCAAGCGGTGAAAGCTAAGCAAGCATACAATGGGTCAACGGTTTCGCCAGTTTTGGTGAACGCAGGAATTAAAAGACCTCAACAACAGTTTGCATCATACGGGAGAAGAAAAAGAGATAATAAAAGTGTAAATGAAATGGATTTGCCTCCCGAGGAACTGTTCTCAGCTTTGTTACAGGTATGCGAGGGTTACGCGCAGTGGAGTGAGAGGCATAGCGATGTGTAACTTTTTATTATTGTTTGGAATTCCTTTATTTAAATTATTGTTATTAAAATAAATAAATACAACTGCATAAAATTTAACTAATTTTGTATTTGGTTTTGTATATTATGTTAATACGTGAAGGAAAAACGTATTATATTCCCTTTTTAAGCATATTGCGCGCACTGGGAAGTGTGAGATTACGCCTAAGTAGTTAAAGTTTATATGGAGAAGAAGTGCAGAAGATAATATGAGTTATAATTACATTAAATTAATTTAAATATTGTTTACGTTCATACTGCTAATATGAACACATAATTGTCGCTTAGACAAATTATGTCGTTTGTTGAAGTGCATGCTGCCAATATTTCAGAGTAAGTATTAGAATATGAATACCCAATGTGATCAAACAGTCGCACATAGTAGAGGTTGTCGCCAAAGAATGATCGCAAAAAAATGTTGCCAACAATTAATTAATGTGAATTTTGTGTGAATTCAAAGGGAACAATTCAAGTCAAGGCAAAAAAGCGTTTATTTTATATTTAATATATGAATAAGATATCTGTGTTTTATAATTATATTGGAGTGCATTTAAACGTGAACTAAAAACCTAAAACTTTAATGAATTATGGTCGAATTTCGAACTCAATGCGACCACTAGTTTATATTATTCTTCTTATTATATAAAATTATTAAACAAAATAATATTATGCGCCTTACATTAACCATGTTGGTGAATAACTGAACCCCGTAAACCTGTAATTGAATAAAAACTAAAATTTTAATTATTTTATAAATATAAGGTGACCGCGGTTAATAAGGAAAAATATTAAATTTGTTCAACAGATTTTAACAATTATACTCGTATATAAATTAAGAAAAATTGTAACATGGAGCATAAAGCAAAGCAAAATTAAACATTTCTAAAAACTTTGCCAACCACTATTTTACTGTGGAAGTAAGTAAAGAAAAACTACTTTTTCGTACTTAAATAACTAAACTATATGTAATATATTCAATATTTGTAATCAATAATCACATCAATGCAGCAATTTTAGACTTAGACCATTCAAGAATGGTCTAAGATTTTAGACTTAAACATTTTATAAGAAATTTAATTGCCTCGCCTAACAGCACTTAGTCATCAGTAAACCTCTGACAAATCAACGCACTCCTCGTGATTATTATAAGTTCGTTAGTTGTGCCTTGAGTAGAGTTGAGTGTATGATTGAGTGTAAAGGTGGGTCTACGCTAGAGGAGCCGAGCATGAGCTGAGAACAAGCTGAGCCGCTCTACTCGCGTAAGGTATGACGAGCCTGCGATGCATGCGATGCAAATCCCCTTGTGTTCGTCAAAAAACCGACAATAGGCAGAGCACAGTCGAGCATGAACCAAACGCTCGTGTCGCGCTCGTTCGAGGCTTGTAAGTTGGTCCACACTACACGAATTTGTGCTCTGCTTAGGCATGTCGATCTAAAATCGATTAATCGAAAAATCGATTATCTGGAGTAAAATAATCGATCTTTTAGATCGATTCAGAGCACTGCATCGATTCGATGAATCGATCCAGAAACCTCTCGAATCGGACTGATTCATCTCTTCCAAAATTAGCGATTAATTTCCTAAACTGGCTGGGGTAAGAAGTTAAATACTGCAGTTTTTTAATTTTTTGCTGTTAGCGGACGCAAAAAGAACCAGTCGTACTTGGTTGATAATTTGAACGCAATATATATTTGAATAAAATAAATATTTATGGACGCATCCAGATATATCGAAAAGGTTTTTTTAAATCTTTATTTATTATAGAGGGTTAAATCTACTAGATCAAGTCACCCTCATAGGTACACAATCAAACACATAATCAGACTATGATAAATTCACATAAACAATAATAAAAGATTATCTATTCTTAATACCTAACAATACAAGTTTATAAAGTTTCCTAGCTTTATCCGGAAATGGAAAAGCTAGGATACTATTATATAATCCAACACTATTTTTGTCAAAACCTAATTGCTATCGAAAAGTTGTTTTTCATTTCTAAAATTCTAATTCTAATCTTACCTGTGGAATGTGTTTCACGTATACAAAAAGTACTCTGTGAATGTGAGTCTAACTTAATCTGTGCTGTGAATAAAGACCACAATATGGGTATGTTCCGAAATACAACGCAGTGTACTGTCCAATGCAAATGACGTATCATTTGACACTTTATTGTACTAGCGTGCCGCCGCCATATTGTGTCGGATATCCGGCCATAATAAAACAATTTTTAATTGTGTGTTTGCCGAATGAAGCATGCCAGAATTTGTTTTCCATTTATTCAAATACAAAAAATTATAGAATAATTGATGGTATATCAATTAGGGGGATATAATCATTTTTGGAGCACAAAATGACAAAATAATCGCCAACACTTTTCCAAATGGCGCAAAAGTATGACGTCATATACTGTCCAATGTTTTGGAACGAAAAACGAGCGTCGATTCATGACGTCATTTGCATTGGACAGTACACTGCGTTGTATTTCGGAACATACCCTATATATTAATATATTATTGCTATGAACCTGTCAATTTATTACTTTAATTATTATCAAATATATACCATACTGTGAGCTATGACCACAGACAGAGTACTTTTTAAATACCTAGATACTGTAAATAAATATTAAATGTTGAAGTTTATAGGGGTTCATATTTGCGAAATAACCTGTATTGTTTTCGTGTAGCATTCATTTTAATTTGATAAATAGTGAGTTATAAGATTGAAACCGATTTATCGAGAAATATACGTAGCAAATAACGCTTTTGTTAAAGTATTGTTGTTCTTTTTAGCCTAAAATGTCAACTATATGTGATACATGGAATCACTTTGTAAAAAAGGGATCGAATGGCGTATGCAAGTATTGTCATATCAAAGTATATACATGCGGAAATACAACAAATTTACGCAACCATTTATTACGAAGACATCCATGTACTAAGTCTGTCTAAACGATAAAATTTTTTAACTATTTGTAGTGTTTACGATTCGCCAATTAAGGCAGGCAAAGGTCTGAAACCATACAGCCTAGTCTAATGTGAATTTTAACAACAACAAACAAAGATGGCTACATATACGTTGTTAACTAAGATAGAATACCCCACAGCCTGTAATTATACATAAAATAAAAGGTAAACGTAATCATAAAAGTTCAATTTAAGAAAAATCGCAATTCTGGAACAATGTTTGGAAATGTCACGATTAATCGAAAATCGATCTTTTAATCCTCGATTTAATCGATAATCGATTCTAGTATGTTCGATTCGAATCGATTCAGAGATCGATTTTTTTAAGAGTGAATCGACATGCCTGGCTCTGCTCATGCTCCGTCGTGCTCGGCTCGTCTAGCGTAGACCCACCTTTAGATTAAGTATCCTCCCAACCGAATTTCTGTCACAGCGCAGCAGCCAGTCTCAACGGATACTAGTCTATCTGCGCAGAACAGAATTACTGCCCCAACGTATAAGCACAGGCATATTTTCTATTCCCTCCCAATCATCAAATCGCAATCTGGCACAGCCAGAGAGAGATCAGGCGCAGAACTAATAATTTCCACATAAAACATTTATTAATAAAGACAAAGACTGCGACTTTAGATAGGTAGTGGTAATATTACAAAACGTATGTTTGATTTATTTGTACTGATTTTTACTATTGGTGCAGTAGGTACTTAAGAGTCGCATGTTTTGATAAATGAACCAAAACTCTGAAGACAGAACGTGCAATAATAGCCAGCCCTTATTTTCTTGAGCGAGAGCAGTTATTATTTATTATTATATACTTATACTTATTAGCCGACAAGCTTTATTACCCGTAGGGTACTGTATGTACCTTATATTTCACCAATATCTAGTAACATTTTTAATATATTTGATACAATGGAACTGTGAAATTTTGTTTGAAACTAGACTTATTTCCAGAGATGTGACTTATTTTAGATATAAGTATCAGAAACAGATACTTACAAAATATAAAATACGTAAAAATTTTCTGAAATTTTTTTTAAAATTTTTATTTTGTGTCTTGTATTTAGATACATTCCCTTGGTATCTTAGTATTTTGTAAATACTAAGTTCACTAAAATACTTAATCTAATGGCAATAAAAAATATTTTAAAAATATAACACCTGTTTGCTGAATTGCACTCCTGTAGAGCAACTCTTTTCTTTTGGAGGTATGATAATGAAACCTCATCAAAGAAAACACCGGTCAAGTGCGTGGCGCGAAACGCACAATGTAGGGTTCCGTAGTTGCCCTTTGCAATACGTGAGCTCAGAAGGGGCCTTCTTAATACTATGAACATATTGAGTTCGCGGTTTTATCGACTGGATAAATACCGCGATAAATATACTTAAATGGATAACAGCAGGACTTAGAAAGTCTTGTAAAACAAAAAAGGAAGTTGAGGTACATTTACTATACATCAAGACTTAATGAAAAAATATCAAACAAGTCAAAATATTACCTTTATACTAACATTCTAAAAAAAGTTATAAGTAAATCCCAAAAAATTAGTAATTACAAGTATATCTCAAATAGTAAAAACAAATGCAAGGCAGCATGGAACATTGTCCAAAACAAAACTGTAGCTAATAATATCCCAAAAAGTATTAAAGAATTAAAAATAAATAATAAAGTTACTAGTGACAAAATACTAATGGCCGAGAATTTAAACAAATATTTTATTCATTCACCGAATAAAATGAAGCAAATTGATAAAACATTAACCAAACATAATATGAAAAGTATTTTTTTGCGTCCTTCAAATAAATATGAGATAAAAAAAGTAATACTTTCGTTGAAAAACACACTATCAGTTGGTTACGACAACATAGCAACTGGAATCCTTAAGATGTGTGCTGAAGAATTATCGCCAATTCTGTCACATTTGGTTAACATATCGTTTATAGAAGGATCCTTTCCAACAGCTCTCAAGTTTTTAATAGTAAAACCGCTACATAAAAAGGATGATAAATGCG